CTCGGTGTCTGCGCCGGAGCACGTGCTTCCTTGCTGGCCGGGCCGTGTCGCCGCACCAGCTCTTGCCGCCCTGGCCCTGACCGCCGGTCCCCGATGGCACCGGCCCCGTTGGCCAGGGCTGTGAGGGTCCAGCGGCGGCTCCGTGTGGGAAGCCGCCGTCCCTGTGGACCGCGCCGCTCCGTGGGCCAGTAGGGCGGAGGCCTCGACGTCCGTCCTGAGACGCGGTGGGGCCGGCAGCTGCCCCTCACGGGCTCGGGCTCCCATGGCTGCCTTGGACCCTGGGGGTGGAGGGGCCGCCACCTTGTCACCAGGGCGCCGGTCCCCCTGTGCTGGGGTGCGGGGCTGCCCTCCTTGGGGTGCGCCAGCTGTGGCAGCCCCGCACCTGCCTGGCAGAGGGGCCGGTGCGCGCACTGATGTCGCGGGGCAGACCCGCACCCAGACTGTGCCAGGAGCTTGGTTTGGGGGCGCCTGGAGCTGGGGAAGCGGCTTCTGGAAAGACAGTGACCTGTAAGCCCCTTGTGGTCACCTGCGGGCCCCACCCTGGGGCCCCGCCATGCCCAGCCTGGCCTGTGTTCTGCCCTGCGCCCCTCGCCGGCTGGCCCCAGAGCCGTGGGGGGCCTTTGGCCCTCTTGGCACGCAGATGGGCAGGTGCCAGTGAACCTCTTTCTGGCTCTTTCGCCATCTGCCCGAGGCTTGCTGGGCACTGGCTCTCCGCCAGGGGCTGGCGGCCTTTGGTGGGCAGTGCCCGTGCCGGTCCTCAGGCGCACCCTGCCTGCCGGATCCCCAGGGCTGCTGCCCAGCCGCCCCCAGAGCCCCGGGGCCCTTCCCTTCCACTCAGGCCTCCAGGGCCTTCGCCGGCCTTCACGTCCTGGCGCTCGGGGAGGTCCAGGCACGCAGGTGACCTGGGTGTGAGCACCTGGCCACACCCCGCCCAGGTGCTGGGCCCTCGCCCGTCTGTCCTGGGGGTGCATCTGGGCGGGGCGCAGGGGTCCAGCCGGGTCTGACGTTCGTGGCCGGCGCGGCCTGGACAGTGAATGACACCAGCATCACGCAGCGACAGGGAGCCAGAGGTTGGACAGTGCTGCCCGGGGCCCGGGGCCGCGGCTCCCTGGAGGCCGGACAGCCAGCAGGTGGCCTCGGGTCACTGGGCAGCCCCAGGGCCCTCCCTGAACCCAAGCCCTTGCCATGAAGACATCTTTTGGGGTGCAGATGATTGCTCCCACGACCTACTGTAACAGGGTTTCCATGAAAAGAGCAGGGGTTCCAGGTCCCAGCCCGCCCCCCAGGTGAGCTGAGGGGGGCGCGTGGGGCAGAGGCTGCTGCAGGAGCTGCGCTGGCTCTCGGGCCTGGGGGGCCCGTGACAGGCGCGGCGAGCGGGCTGGGGGTGGTGGCAGCTTGGACCTTGAGCTCATGTGCCCCCGAGGCTCGGGGGACCCCGTGTCCGCCAGGAGGAGCCTCCGGCTGGCGGCTCCGGGCCTCAGCGGCCCTGTGCGGCC